AAATATCGAGGAGGACCAACAGAGACATTTTGCCCATCAGCCTCCCTCAGCAGGTCATCGTACAGGGCGACCAATGCCGTCTCTGTACCGTGACGCAGCCTGAAGCCCGACTGGAATGGATCCAGGGCATCTGTTTCATCCAGGAGTGCCTGAAGCTGATCTGCCACCACCCTCTCCACCACTTTGCTCATGAAAGAAACATTGACGACGGGCCTATAATCGGCAATTTCATCCGCCGCCAAATTAGGTTTCTTTCTTATGGGCCTAATGAGTGTCTCCTTGAGGGCAGGTGGAAACCTGCCCTCAAGGAAAGACCCATTTATTATTGCAATGGCCCATTCCATTGTTTTCGGCCTGGCTGCTTTGATTAGCCAGGCCGGACAAGGGTCCAAGGAGGAGGTGGTGGCCCAACAGCGGTCAAGTACCCTGGCTACAGAATCGGGCGTTACCGGCTGAAAAGAGTCGAAAATGACCGGGCAAGACGGAGCGCTGGACATCTCAGCTTGACTCGCTGCGTTCAAAAAAGGAGAGAGTTCCCGGCGGGTGGCCTCCACTTTAGATTTTAAAAATGCTGCAAATTGGTTCGGTGAAAGACTAGGGGGAGGCTCATCTCCCGGACCAATTCCGGATAGGTCGTGCACTATGCAGAAAAGCTCCGCCTGCTGGTTGGATGCTTCGCTTATCCGGTTAGCGAAGAATGATCTACATGCAGCCTTCACCTTGTTCAGGTAAAGGTTAGTTGTGACCTTAACAGCTATCCAGTTCTGTTGGCAGTAACAACACAACTGTCTGACTGAAGTCTTTTACACTGTGGATAAAGGAAATCCACTGGTGGCAGTGAGAAAAAGGAGGAACATCACAATTGATATCTGCTGGTGGGAGGACATAGCGTGAGCTCCTTTTGTTTGGTGAAACAAGCAGGGGCCACGTGGTAAACATCACAGTTGGTATCGAGGATCACCCATGGACAACAATGTCGATGGAACGTCCATGGGCAAAGGTTGATATCGGGGATCGATATCAGAGCCGGTATCTCGGTGGTGACGAAATGGAGGCTTGATCAATGGTCGATATCGAGGATCGTCAATATTGGAGCCAGTATCTTGGTGGGGACAAAATGGACATTGTTGTCAAGGTGGTCAATGTGTCGATGGACCACACTGGATGGCTGAGGAGTAAATAGATGCTGGTGATGCCGAGCGGGATGATCAATCCCGATCCTCTTGAACCAGGAAATACCAACCTACTGGAGCTGCAAATGCACTCTGAACCAAAGAATATTGATTAGCTGTTCTGGATCTTTTAGGTCCCAGCTGATAGGCAGTCTGTAGCCCCTGATTATCTTGATGGTGAGATTGTTTCGACACCGAGAGCTGCCAAGAGTGACATTTCTGGTATGGCACTGCTGTTGAACCAGGGAGAGTAATCGGTTGATAATGCTTGGCAGGCTTTCCAGTTGAGCACTGATTGGGGCAAATGGCTACCCGATAATGGTGCTAGGCTGTTTTTGTATATATAAAAAATGATTAGGCAACCCTCTTGTTGGCCACGTTATAGAAAAGGACCATACATTAGAAGAGCTTGTATTTTGGGCTACTGAAAGAGTTATTGTCAACCAAGACAGGTTCCTATTGAGAAAAGAGATTGATTGGATTTTAAGATTAAACACACTAGTACCTTGAGGGTTAAATGAAGAGATTGATTTTCTTCCCCTGCTGTAAATACACCAATTAAAATGTCAACTTTGACTCAGCTGAGAATAAAAGGCCTCCCTGCTCAGTGTCAACATTCCTGATTAGCTTCGGAGCTGATACAGACCAGAGAAATACAAAGATTTTGGTATGTTGACTATTTCACTTATTAAGGTCATTTATAAGGCTTTAACATTTTTAATAATTGTTTTTAAGTGTATAAAATATAGGTCCTCAACCATACACACACACACACACACACACAATGTTTTATAGGAATATACCTGATATGTATACATTTATAATTTTGAAATTTTGTTTACTTTTAAGCTTCTGATGAAGGCCTTGCCGAAACGAGTTAAGCAAGAAAGTTTTTGAAGCTTTTCACCACTTAATAAAGACATAACATATTGTTATATACCACAGACATCCTGAGATTGTTTCTCCCTGCATCTTTTGGTTGCCCTTTGTGATGCGTCAAAGGTCGAGGTGACAGGCCTGCTGGGACGGAGTAGGGCACGGTATCAGGTTCCATTTCTCTCCCTTGCATATCAAATGAAGCAACCAAAGAGGGGCTTGCTAGGGGAGCCAGATTGCTGGGGGCTGGTGGGACAGGATGTACGTTGATCCACCCGGTCTTCCCATTCTGGCGATTGCGAAGAGCATGGTTGATGGGGTGGGAACCCTTCTTCGTCTGAGGGTGAACCCATGCAAACCAAATCTCAGGACTCCGAGGATTGCAGAGAAGTAATACCCGGGGATTTTACCTTCGAGGATTTGGACTTTTTCAGTGGCGAGGGATCCAGAGCCAAAGAGGCGTCGGTGGGCGGCTTTCTTTTTGTGGTCGTTTTCGATGTTGAAGACTTCGACATCGACTGTTTAGTTTTGTGCCCCTTCATCTGTTTGGATGACGTTGAGGGGGCATCAGAGTGCGATGGTGTGGCCGAAGGGCATTGTTTTGCCATCTCTGAGATGGCTTTTTTCATGGCCTTAGCTTGTAAGGTGGTTTTACAAGCAGGCTGAGCCATAGTTTTTTGCAGGTTGAAGGGCTTCTTCCCAAAGTCGAAGCTTCAGCCCAGAGAGGCGAGTGCAGAGAACTCCGTGCTTAAATTTCTTACAGTGAGGGCACGAGGAGGTTTGGTGAGGCTCACCATGACAAAAAAGACATTTAGCGTGGCCATCTGAAAGTGGGATCTCATTGTCACAGACCATGCAATGTTTAAACGGACACAAGGGTGCCATGAAATACTAATAAAATGAGAAAAGAAATGGGGGAGGTGTTCAGCCATTAATGAAAAGAAACCCCCTTTCTTTCTTCTTTTTGTGTGTGTGAAAGAAGTAAACAATAAGGGTTAAAACAGATTAAAAGAAATCAAGATTAAACTCTCTTTCGCTTTTAAACTCTCACAGAAGCAACAATACTAGTCTCTCAACATGGCTGTTGAAAGAAAACTGAAGGGAGAGTCTTGGCGCCAAGGTAGATATATGGAGGGGGAGGGGTCTACACTAATGTGTTTTTTAGTTATCGCAGCAGCTCTAGAATCTTTCAACGAGGCTCCGCGCAGGTACAGATTACCCAGGGTGTGATTCAGAGACCACGAAGAAGAACCTGCTCTACACAATTTTCAACCCCATTCTCTGCCAGCAAACCCTCAGAATATAAAAAAGCAAGATACTGATGTCCTACTTTCTCTCATTTCTCCTTTCCTCTCACTATTCCTAGAACAATCAATCTGTTCAAGGTGCTGTATTGAACTAACAGAAGTAGAGAGAGGGAAAAGTCAGCTTTTGCTCACAATTCTCCACAAATGTCTTATCTGGACATAACCTATTGTTTCAGCATACCTACCAATACAGCTTTTGAGCACAGTGACAAACATGACATAAAAGACACTAAATGTGCTCTTTTAAACAGCATGCTAGTAACCTTACTCAAATGTACTGACAGGTAGGAGCACCAGATGTTTCAAGCAACAAATGTAGTATTTTTTTCCATGATTCAGACCTATATAACATACTTGTCTGCAGACAGACCTGAAAGTAAGTAAAGAGATTTTCAGTCTACAAATCCTATCAGTCCCAGCCAACAGACCCCATGGTGATGGATTATAGGAACTGCATTCTAACTACATCTAAAGTTGCTCTCTTCTGCTCAAAACGGGGAAAAGGGGGGAAAAACAACAATGCAATGACAGAGGCCTCAAGATACATATTATCACATGTGGCTTATGGTCCAAACAAGGCGGAAAACCTTCACCCCCAAAGCTGGGGACGAGGAACCCATCTCACTGTACAGGCTATGATCCAGCCTGAATACTACAGATACATAACATCTGGAATTGCTGATGTATGTCCTTTACATCAAATATGGTAATAACATAATCTTTGACAAACTTTATGAGAAAGGGTAAACTACATCTTTCATATCTCTCCCAGATACTGAAGGCTGATGCACAATTCTTGATTTATGGTGTCAAGCAACTTTCCCTCTAATTTTTCAGCCCCACAACCAGAACCAAAGGGGCTGGAAACAATCGATGTGGCTGCACGGAGGAGAAAGGACCCTGCAAGAAAGGGGGTGGAGTCGCACACGCTTGTGCAACTGTGTACCTTAGAGGGTACCTTGGTGATACACCATAAACTTGTGGTATATACACAAGGTTAAATCAAAGTATTTCTGTGTTTCTATGCCCACAAGTGAGTCTTGTGAATGAAGTAGTCTCATTTCATTTACAAACGTGCACTGACACAAGAAAGAAAATTAAACTTCTTTCCACTGTTTAAGGATCAATGCAATTAGGTGTAACTATCTACATTAAATGACCGTTACAGTAGCAGCAGCATTTCAGAATTAATTATTCTTTGAGTAAAATAATACCACACTCAAATTTCCTTCTTTCATCAAATAAAGATGGAACCCAGCTTTTATTCAATATAAGTCTCACTTGTCTTCAAGAAACTCAGCTTTTTAATGTTCAGTTGGAATATCTCAAACACAGTAAAACTGGAATATTGCATTATTTATTTATTTATTTATTTCATTATTTTATTTATTTTTATATATTTTTAGGGTTTATTCTAACTTCTTAATACTGTCCTTAATTTATTTAATTTCCTTTTCATTTCCTCTCTTTTCTCTCTCTCTCTTTTTAAAATATATATTAATCCTTGTGTCCCTACTATATTCTACAGAGCAAATGTTATAAATCTGTCTTGGGTTATTTACCAGTCCTCGTCTTCTGGTATCTTGCTTAAAGGTGGGTTCAAGCAGTAGATGTGGTAGGCCATGTTACATTCATCGCAGAGAAGTTGCATGTGGGCATCCTGTTTTCCTCCACACAAATAACAAGAACAAAATCGACATTCTTTATCTGGATCAGCTCTGCAATGCTTGCATTCAGGGCCACTCTTTCCTGCAAATAAAAATAACATACATACTGATCTTTCTTATTAAAGAGAATGTTTAAAATAAGACGGAGTAAACAAACAAAGAAATAGAAATACTGTATTTGCCGGCATACAAGATGACTTTTTGGCCCTGAAAAACATGCCTCCAAGTGGGGGGGTCGTCTTATACGCCGGGTGCACTTCCAGCAAACCCTCCCTCTCTCCCAGTGAAGTCACTACCTCGTAGTAAGACCGAGTAGACCAAGCTCCTCCTTGGTAGCCTGGGAACAGCCTGACTCTAGCGCCGAACAGCTGACTGTCGGGAACCAGCAGAGAGGCGGCAGCCATTTTGAGATGCGACCATATGGCTGCTGCCTCTCAAAAGGGCTGCCGCCTCTCCAAAATGGCTGCCACCTGTCCAAAATGGCTGCCGCCTCTATGCTGGTTCCTGACAGTCAGCTGTTCGGTGCCAATGCTGTCCTTCTTCCAGCAAACCCTCGCTCTCTCCCAGTGAAAGGAACCAAAAGCAGCAAAACAAACTCTCCCCATGATGCAGCCAAAGCAGAATCACACATGCGGAAGAGGGGGCAGTCTTATATGGCAAGTATAAAACAAACTCTACATTTTGAGTGGAAATGTTGGGGGGGGTCGTCTTATACTCTCAGTCACCTTATACGCCGGCAAATACAGTACACTCACTATCAAGTCCCACTTGACATAATATTTAATTTGCAAGTTCTGCACAAGAATATAGTACACTTCAGAAATAAGAATTGTTTGTGAGTGCAGGTGAAAAATTTATTTCACAAAGGCAGACACAAAAATCAAAACTTGTTTGAAATCAGAGTGGGAATATTTACATGTGGCTCTTCTACAGAAAACAGAAATAGTAGTATACTACTAAGCAGGGATTTGAACCCAGACCCCCATGGCCCAGTCCATCACTCTATTCACTATCTGGGATTCTATGTCATTTTACATTACACAGCTATAAAGTAGCCTCCCCTAACCTGGTGCCTCCCAAATGCTTTGCTTACAACTCCTAACATACTTGACCACTGGTCATGGTTCTTAGGCCTTGTGGGAGCTGTAATCCAAAATGTCATGAGGACACAGGATTGTGGAAGTTTGCTCAATAAATGGGAAAAATGTTGCTCTCTAGATTTCTCTACAAAAATTTGTATACGGATTTCATTTTAAAAATACAGGTATATGCCACTGCAATAAGACACTACTTCTATGAACTATATACTTAACTTGAAAAATTATTCCTAAACTATCATCAAATAACAAGATCTATCTAGTTCACATAATATTAATGGAAGCTGTATTATTTCCAGATTTTGACCACTTCCCTCCATAAAGGAAATATTTAAAATTACTTCTGGAAACTATCATGAAAACACCAAATACCTACTTCTGAATTCTCCATCTGCAAATGTTAGTGGATATGCTCCTGGCTTTTCAATCTTGTATATTTCTTCTATAAAAAGTAGCTTGCAATCATTTATGACATCTCCTGGGCCTCTGAAAGTCAACACATAGAATACTTTAGTTTCTCTAATTCAAATTATAATGGGACCAATGGGACAGAAATAAAGGTTATCTTGAACTACAGGTGCTGGTTATAACTATATATATAGATAATAGAAAATAGTAAAACTAATTCAAACTAAACAAAGAGCATACCTCAGGCTGCAGTTTTTAAATTATTCAATACCACTCAGAAAAAGAATAAACATTTAGAGTAAAACAAATCATAAATCCATCTGAAAATCATACAGCAGATATATTTGGAAATATTTTTAAATTCCCGATTAAGATACAATATTTCCTTCCCAAATGCACTGCCCATGGTCATCCCTGCTGAATTAACAGTATCATGAATTCACTAGATAAAAAACCAGTAAACCAAAAGTCTGACCTAATAGGAGCAAAAAAAAGCATAATCAAACTAAAGCTCCTCCCTCTCATTAACATACACAAAAATGTAATAATACATAAAATACACAGTCAAACAATATTATTACTTCCATACTGGCAAATCTAGGCAATAAATGGCAACAGAAGTCAAGATAGGGTCACTGAGGCATAAGAGTTAAAAAGTCAGTTGTTTAACAAAAATATTTAAAAGAACCTGTACTGAGGCAAGAGCAGAAACAAAAGCAACAGAAAAATGATACAGAATATTCAATAACAATGGAAAATCCAAAAAAACTGGGTATCTGTTGCAATGTTTTATTACAGATCCCAATTACGTCTCACGGTCTTCAAAGGACTAGTTAAAGCACTTGTATATTATTCACAGTGAAATTAACTGAAGTGTTAAAGTATTTTGGCTGTCAGGACCTGTGTGGTATATATTCAGGAATGTGAACATGAAAAAACCCTAATACTGGACAGAATGTTTTGCAGACAAAATACTGAGACCTAGCTCAGCTATAAATATTTAACAGTATCTGTAATAATGAGCAGCAGAGGAGACACACACTACTCCCCTCATACGTGTAGCAAGAGCTTCACACAGAGGAGTACATACATAATGGCTTAATCTTTCCAATGCCTCCTGTCCCAAAACTGGGTACTTTACAATGCAATGTTTCTGAAAATAAAGGATTGGCCAGCTGCACACCATTGTTAAGGAAATGCATGAGTGCACTTGCAATGTTTTTCCACTCTTCGGGGAGGCTCATTCTGTGTCTAGGCTCTAGTTGGACATCTACTTGGATACAAGACAAACTTTCTGTGAATTAAGAGAAATTGAATCAATGCAGCACTTACAAGCATGCAATTTATGCCCCACCACATGTACAAAAGCAGATCTAGCAAATAGGTGAGACCACCTTGGGTACTTAAAGTGAAAAAGACGGGGTTAAACTAAACTAATAACTCTATTGAAGTAGCCTGCTTCTGGTCACAAGCAATCGAATTATCTTAATATTTTAATTTGTTTTAAAGTTACCTATACTGTATATCATATACAGTACATCCATAATTTTAAATTGGGCAACACTCTGATACAAATAAAGAGAAAGAAAAGTTGCAATGCCAGCTCAGTAAGTTTCTGAACCAAGCTGTTTTTAATATACTGTTATCAATTAATCCCGAAAGTAACCTAATACCAAGAGGACTCTATTGTAACAATTTATTTAAACAACACTATTAAGAATGTCCATTAGAAAGTGGATCCTATGCATGGTTCTTCCTAACAATTAAAGAAACAGCAGCATCAGCATCCACATCCTTTGTGATCAGTAGCACCAATCTGAGCTTACAACATGTGAAACAAAAATTAGCAGCTAAAACCAACATTCCACTGCAAGAAGCTACTTCCCTTCCACTTCCCACTGCAGCCCCTACAATGCCTAAAACCCAGCTCTGGCAGGTTTTCCGGGGATCTACCCTCCGCCTGTTCCACTGAATTCACCATTAGAAGTCCACTACTGGATCCCAGCAAAAAATTGAAAGTAGGAAAAACAAAGGTTGGCTGGTATTTTGATCTGGGTCTAGCAATCAGAGTCTCTCAACCATCTAAAAAAATCACAAGATATCTGGAATGAGGAAACAGGGAGAAAGATGGGTGCTTCATGCATTTCCTCTCTTCTAGTTTCCTTCTGCACTCAGTTCCCCACAAACCACTTATCTCCCAGCTACAATAAACACACATAAAAACAACAACAGTAAGTCAAAAAGTGATTAATGCCATGTATCAAGCTTTACAATATGTCCAAAGGTTGGTTGTTTCCAGATTTCCTTCAGATTCACTAGGGTTTGAACATATGGACACATTTCCAAGGACAAAAAGCTTTCCCAGTGAAGACTCCAGGAAGAAGTCAGGAAAATAACTACGGTAAATTTTTTTTCTACTGCATTTGAAGATACTCTCTTCAAGTCTGCCAGCAAAAAAGATTCTAAGATTTTGCCAACGTGGCTTTTCACGTGTTGTTAGTTTTCTGTCAAAGTGCTCATCACTCTTATTTCTATATAGCTGGTTCCTTGATTTTCAATCACCAGGATTCATCCGAGTTTCCCTGGCCACCACAGTGAAAATGGGAAAGCTGCCAAAACATTTCATACCACAGGATTATGAGCACTGTTGAAACAAACAGAGTGGGGGGGAAAGGACAGCCAAGGAAATAACAACTTGATTCGTTTCTCTGGGAATTCTTATTGCAGGGAAAATAAGACATTCAAGTGGTGATAGGAACAGGCGGGGAGGAAAATGCAGTGGTGCCTCACTTAACGGGCGCCCCATTTAATGACGAATCCGCATAGCGATTAAGATTTTGCAATCGCTTTTGCGATCGCATTGCGATGTTCCCTATGGGGAAAAATCGCTTTGCGATGATTGCGGGGAAGCGATCATCGCAAAGCCCCATTTTCGCACAGCTGATCGGCAGGGCTTCGGGATGATGGGGGGGAAGCGCTTTAATGCATTCCTATGGGCTTTTTTGTCCCGCATAGCGACGAATCCATATAGAAACGATTTTTTCGGAATGGATTGTCATCGCTATGCGGGGCACCACTGTACCAATAATTCTCCATGTACCCTGAACAGAACACTGCACATTCCATAATTCAGCTACCTCAGATAATGCTTCCCATTCAGCAGGAGATCTAATTTGATGTCAACCCAGTCTAGTTCAATCTGAATACCTAAACCAGTTTTCACACTTGGAAGTGAAACATGCTAAACAAAAAGAAAATGGCATCCACTTGAGGGGAAAAATTAGAAATTGAAAAGGACTTTCTGCACTCCCTAATACAGTGGTGCCTCGTATTACGAGCGCACCGTATAACGACGAATCCGCATAGCGATCCCTTTTCCGGGATCGCTAATGCAGAGGCATAGCGTTGGCCCCAATGGGCAAAACTCGCATAGCGAAGGTCGGTAAGCATTTCGCTTACCGATCTTCGCTTTGCGACGCCTGCAGATCAGCTGTTCGGCGGTTTCAAAATGGCTGCCGGATGCCCAAAATGGCCACGCGCAGCGTTTTCGCGCTCTCCCCTCGCTTACCGAGGGTGCGAAAATGGCTGCCGGAGCCT